TATATAAGTTTCGGGTCTAAAATCGTGCGAGAAAATCAAGTTTTTCTTCGAAAATCAGCCAAGTCTCGAGCAACCTGGTGTTCACGGCCGCACTCGTGTTCACGGTCGTAAACCGTTCACGACCGTGAACCGTGCACGGCTGGGTGGACCCCACCACCGACCATGAACCCAACCTATATATATATATATATATATATATATATATATATATATATATATATATATATATATATATATATATATATATATGTGTGTGTGTGTGTGTGTTCCTACCCTCATTTATACTTTTATGGCCGAAAACCTACTTTCTCTCTCTAAAACCATCAACCGAAAACTCAAGTTTTCTCTTCATCTATCACCCAAATTCTCCTTGGAACTCGTTTTGGAGCATCAAGCATTCATCCTTTCATCAAATCAAGCATTCCTTGTTCTTGATTTCACGGCCGTAAACCCTTCAAATCTTCAAATCTTCAAGGGCCAAAATCAGTTCACGGCCGTAAACCATTCAAAGACCGTAAACCCTTCAAGGGCAGGGAATCGTTCACGGCCGAGAACAGTTCACGGTCGAAAACCCTTCACGGCCGCAATCAGCCCTACATCGTGAATCTTGGCTGCAAACCTACTTTTCCTCCTCGATTGAGTCTCAGTAACATTCCTTAACCAAAAGCAAGTGTTTTTCTTACACTTTAACTAATGGATTCGCTAATTTAAATACAAATATGTGATTAATTATTATTAGGATTCCGTTAAACTTCACGTACAACAACTCGAGGGTCCTCATTTCCAGTCTCGTTGTCCGGCACATACACGCATCCAACTGTGAGTTCATACCCCTATGTTTTCTCTATTTTATCGTTTTCAGGGGGGAATACAAGCCAAACACAAATAGTTTTTGTGAACTTTATACACAGAATTTCAGCAGGGCTAAAACTTATGCAATTGATACAACCAAAAGATCACTACTTTTTATAAAGTATTTATATATTTTATCTATTTTGTAACATGCTGAGCATAAGGGAAGTTTTTAACTCACAACTATAATTGCATAGTTTTCAGAACAATACATGAACCGAGTACTTAACACACATGCAAACTATAATAGGTATAGTTTGGGATTTCAATACACAGTTTATTCATCTCAGGTTTATACATTAACAATCATATAAACTATGACAAATATAGTTTATGGTATACATTACTACTTGCTAAAAATATAAGAGTACCATACTAAATAGTTATTTAAGTATAATTATTTTTACTCTACAAGACATATGTATAGATTCAAGTACAAGTGAACATTACATTACACGTAAACCAGTTAATACATGGTTGTGAGACATCACTTCAATTGTACCCTTCGGGGTACGGGTTAAATCCTATCATAGTATAACCAGAGTCTCCTGGAGGGAGAGCGTGAGATTTATGAATAGATCTATTCGGGATTGACTATCCCACACCTGAACTGCTAGCTACAGTTAGGCAGGCATGCCTGGGGTGACAAATGTCATAACATCCAACACCTGAAGAACTTTGTAGAGGTCACTAGGTCATATCAAGCATGGTTATACGAACTCACAACAGTATAAACTAACCTTTGTTTACGAGATTTCATTCTTCATTAGTTTTATTTTAATTAATAGAACTACTACACATTATATTGGGGGAGTTCCAGGGGATAAAATACATAGTTTTATTTTAATTAATAAAACTACTATACATACTGGTGCTATCCAGGGTTTCTATACAGAACATGCTATATATACTGGAGTTGACCAGAATTTTCATACAATACATTACTTACATTACTGGTGGTAGCCAGGGGTTTCATACAAGTACTTTCATACACAAAATCGAATTCAATAACGATCATACAATTGGTCTTAGGGTTTAACACTACCTTTTTATTTATGAAAATATTGGATTTTCTTGGAAACATACAAACATTTTCATTGATTCATTAGCAAGTTTTCACTACAAAAACATGCTTATGAACTCACCAGCTTTAATGCTGATACTCTTTCAAAACCGCTTGTATTCTCATGAAATCAGTAGACATGTACTCCTGCAGGCTTTTGAGAAGACGGAGCATATAGAGTCACGTCTTTTATATTTTGCTATACTTTTAATGTATACAAACTATGTATTAACAGATGTAAATATTTTACTTATTCAATGTAATGGTTGTGTTTACTTTGATTACTATGATGCAATTGTTGTGATACTATACATGACGTCCTCCACCCCTGAACGTTTCCGCCATTTCAGTTTAGAGGTGTGACATCTATCCGGGTATTACAGAAAATTCATCAAAAACTACAGGGTCATCGCAACACCTCTTACTAGCATGCTCAGACGTAACAGCTTTGCATGGACTCCGGAATCTGATGCAGCTTTTTTGGATCTCAAGGAGGCTCTTTCACAAGCTCCAGTCCTCGCATTACCTGATTTCGATGTTTTATTCGTGGTGGAATGTGACGCCTCCGGTATAGGCATTGGGGCAATACTACAACAAAAATCTCACCCGGTTGCGTACTTCAGCTGGAAATTAGATGACCGCCACCACAAACTACCAGCTTATGAACGCGAGTTGATCGGGTTAGCAAAGGCGGTCTCTCATTGGCGGCCGTATCTTTGGGGTCGACATTTCTTGATAAAAACCGACCATTATAGTTTAAAATATCTCTTGGAACAATGACTAACCACTTCACCCCAACAACATTGGGTGAGTAAATTGACTGGGTTTGACTTTGAGGTCAAATATCGGTCGGGCTCGCTCAACCAAGTTGTTGATGCCTTGTCTCGACGGGAAGACGAGACGCTCCAGGATGCTCTCCTTGCCACTTCGACGGTCTCCACACTCATGACTGATGTACTTTCCTCAGTAAAACTAGAAATCGATAATAATCCAGATTTGCGGGATCGTCGCACACGTATCCTAGCCGGCACAGAAGGGGACCAGTGGAGGGTTAAAAATGATATCATCTTGTTTAACGGGCGAGTGCACTTGCTGCCTGACTCTCCGCTGGTTAACAAGGTCGTTTCCGAGGCACATGCAATGGCTCATGAAGGTACTCAAAAAACCATTGAACGAATTCATCGTGATTTTTATTGGAAAGGGTGGAAAGCCACAATTCAACACCATATCCATAATTATGAAATTTGTCAGCGCAACAAATGGGAAACTCTCCAACTAGCGGGTCTCCTACAACCCTTACCCATTCCCACGTCCATTTGGGTTGATATTTTAACGGATTTCGTGGAAGCTCTTCCCAAGGTTGCGGGAAAATCTGTGTTGCTTGTGGTAGTTGACCGTCTTTCTAAATATGCTCATTTCTTACCGCTCAGTCACCCCTACACGACAGAGACGGTAGCTAATTTGTTCTTTACAGAAATATTCAAGTTACATGGGTTACCGAAACAATTGTTTCTGATCGCGATAAGGTCTTCCAAAGTTCTTTTTGGAAGGAACTTTTTCGTCTTTCCGGGTCACGATTATCGTTCTCTACCGCTTATCACCCTCAAAGTGATGGTCATACGGAAGTTATTAATCCCACTATTGAGATGTATTTGCGGTGCATAACCGGAGATAAGCCGCGAAAGTGGTTGTCATGGCTTCCTTGGGCGGAATATTGTTATTACACTTCGTATCATACTTCCTTGAAGACAACCCCCTTTAAACTCGTTTATGGCAGGGATCCGCCCAAATTGTTAAACTATACCACTGGTGAGTCTAAAGTTGACGCAATGGATCTTGCTCTTAACGAGCGAACAGAGTTTTTGAAAGATGCACGGGCTAGACTGGCAGAGGCTCAACAACGCATGAAGGCTAATTATGACAGCAATCGTCGGTTTATCGAATACAAGGAAGGTGATTGGGTTTGGCTCAAGTTACAACCGTACCGCCAATTGACTGTTTCCAGAAATTCCATCACTAAGTTGTCCCAAAAATTTTATGGACCCTTCTCGGTGTTACAAAAGGTTGGGCCAGTTGTCTACCGGCTCCAGTTGCCCGAAGGGAGTCGAGTTCATAATGTGTTCCATGTATCCCTCTTGAAACCACATCATGGTCCCTCGCCAACTCAATTACCTGCACTTCCCCCTTTGACGGATGGAAAGACGTTATTGCAACCCTCTCGTGTGCTTAATGTTGGACGAGTTAATGGTAGAGTTGAGGTATTGGTTCGGTGGGATCAAGGAGGTGAGGTGAATGCTACATGGGAGGAGTTGTCTGCTTTTCGTGAAGCTTATCCTGAGTTTGAGCTTGAGGACAAGCTCATATTGGAGGAAGGGAGTAATGTTATAGATCCGAAATATGGTCAGGTGTACAGAAAACGAGCCAAGGGATAAGGATCATGGTTTTTTTTTTTCTTTTTTTTAATTCATGCTATTAGATAAGTAGTCTTGAGTCTTTTAAATTATTAGAGTTATCTAGTTAGTTATTCTTATCAATTGTTGGTGGTGGAGTCAATTGAGGATATTTACCTATTTATAGGGTTGTTTTTTATTAATAAAGATATGCATGAATTTATCAGTAATTTAGGAGTTCTCCATCGTATTCTTAGTTTTAGCTTAGCCTCCGATCCTGGAGGTTAGGCTTCTTGGTGTTCACGGCAGGAGGTGGTCAATACACAGGTCCACTCACAAGATCGAGATCCCGGGCTGTAACACTTTCCATCAATTCTTGATACCACTAGACTATAATCCTTTGGTACTTTGAGCGGTTTCTATGTAGTTTGACTCGGTTAAAATTTAGTTGAAACTTTTTTAATTTATTCGTTTGATGATGAAATTATAAATCAAATTGTTAATAATCGTATTAAAATTGTTACGTCTTCACATGAAATTGCCCTTAACTACGAATATTTTTTATTTTAATTTCACAAAACTACAAAAATGCTGATGTTTTTTAAATAAACTAAAACATTTAAAGTAAATACACCTTGAAGAGAGAGGATATATACATGTATATATATACCAAATCACGCTCTTCTGTTTCCAGCACAAGAAACCAAAACTAGTCTGAGAAGAAATGGGAAGATCTCCTTGTTCTGAAGAAAACTCCGTCAAAAAGGGTCCATGGACTCCTGAAGAAGATCAGAAGCTCACTGATTACATTCAGAAACATGGCCATGGAAGTTGGAGAGCTCTCCCTAAACTTGCAGGTATATTTTTTCTCTGATTCTTCGGCCCTTTGAAAGAACAACGACAAGGGTTTGTGTTATTTATAGACCCTTTTAGATGACGAATAATCCTCTTAAGAAAGTAGAGCTCCGTATCATATTGAATTATTAGACTGTAATGTAAAGTGAACTCATGATCTGGGAAACTTGGTTTGTAGGCCTGAAAAGATGTGGAAAGAGCTGCAGACTGAGATGGACGAATTATCTGAGACCAGATATCAAGAGAGGAAAATTCTCGAACGAAGAAGAGAACACAATTCTTCACCTTCACTCCATTCTTGGAAACAAGTATAATTAGTTATCCTTTAGTTTCCAATAATTAATCAGGGCTATAGCTTCATTTGTTTAGTCTATTTTTCACGTTAACAAACATGCTAAATGAATGAAACCCGCACGTCCAGAAAAATTAATAATTCATGAATTGACATCAATGTTATATGCAATAAAGGCATAAGCTTTCTGATGTTAGCGCTTGTTTTATTACCAAGTACAGATTTTATACAAAGATTCTTACTTTTTCTTTTTTTTTTTTGCTGTTTGTGTAAAGATGGTCTGCAATAGCGGCACATCTACCGGGGCGTACAGATAATGAGATCAAGAATTACTGGAATACACATTTGAAAAAGAGACTAATCCAGATGGGTATTGACCCGATGACCCATCAACCAAAAACCGACTTGTTTTCTTGCTTACCACAACTAATTGCACTAGCTAACCTCAAAGAGTTGCTTGAACATACTCAGTTAGCTCATAACCTCCAATATCTTAACCTTTTGAGACAGCCGACCATCATCGCTAATAATCCTGACTTAGCGACGGCATTAAATGCAACTAATTTTATGGTTACAAATCCAGAACCAAACCCATATTTTTCTAATGATTCTCTACAAGTAGGTCAAGGAAGGGTAGAAATGTCCGATTTTTTCTCTGTGGAAAATGCTCCTGTTGGTGGTGGTTGTTCGCAACCACTCCAACAACAAGTCCCTATTGATCAAGAAGTTGTGGGCCAGTGCCAGATGGGACTTATGAGCGACAAATCATCATCTTCCACGTGGAATCCTCTTCCGCCATTGAAGGACTCGTCAGGCAGCAACAATACTAACTCACAGGAGAACAGCAGCACCGTTAGCTACGGTGGCGGAGGAGCTTCTGCACTCAACTGGCCGGATTTTATTTTTGAAGATTCATTCTTGGAGGATAATTTGAGTGAAATACGTCAAATTTAATGAAAACGTTTACTCATGCACGGGTAGATTTTGAAAGCCCATTGACAGTTGTACGTTTTAAGTTTTAACTACCAGAGGTCGTGGATGTGCATTGCGGGTTGTAAGATATGGCATGCTGCTTCATGGATGGCCATGCATGCATGGCATTTGTTTTTCCTTTTTGTATTTTGTGATGCATTACGTGAATAGCAAGCAATTGATGGCATATGTAAACGAGGGTTTATATTTCTTTTTGATAAAGTATATAATCAAAATATCGAGTTTCATTTGAAAAAAATTATGTCTTATTATGATTCTAATGATTGAGGATTATTTTATTAATTTGTTATTTTCTTTATTTCGAGCACTATATTTATTGTGAGATAATAAAGGATATATACACTGAATTCTTCATATTTTCAACTATTTAATAAGAAATTTTTAAACTTAATTTTTTAACAGTAAAATCCAAACTACCGGCAATTTTTGACACGTTTATCCTTTTTTACCGATTAGTCGGTAATTAGGACTGTACTGTCAATAAAATAAAGTTTAAGACTTTCTTGTCAAATTTTGAATTACGACCTTACTGTAAAAAAAAATTAAATTTAGGACTTTTTTTTCAAATCGTTGAAAATATTGGAATTTTAGTGTATATATATATATTCATTTTTTTTGTTAGAAATCTAATAGTATGATAGTTTTTAAGCATAAGAGTTATTGGAACCTGCTCTGATCAGCTAGATTCTATTGAAATTGTTAATGTTTGTTTCTTGTTAAATAATTTTTTTTAATCTCGACAAACCGACATTGAAAAAAATGGAGATAATCAAGAAATAAAGAAAGAACCATAGTTGTTTTGGCTTTTTGCAGTCCTAAAAATGGAGAACTAAGAAATCGGAATAGACGAATCTGCCCTTCTTACCCTTTCTCCACATTCACACCCTTTTTACTAGGTGTGTGTTGTTTGTGTTTGTACAATATGTCCCCTCTTTTCAGTTCAAGATTTGGCGGCGAACCAAGAAGACAGCTTTACAAGTCTTCTCACCCTCTCTCGTTCTCTATTGTGTATTTGTTTCCCATGATGATCGTGATTGTAGCAAGGTAAAGATGATGATGGTAAAAAAAATAGTGGTGTTGCGACGAAAATCACAATTAAAAGTTCTTGGGCTACGAATTGGCTCTCACGAGGCTGATAACTTTATTTGTTTCTAGGGAAACCAAGACTATACACAAAAGTCCCAATATTTTCAACGATTTGATAGTAAAGTCCTAAACTTTATTTTTTTGACAGTAAAGTCATAATTATCGTTTTGACAAGAAAGTCCTAAACTTTTTTTTACAGTAAAGTCCTAATTACCGGGTAACCGGCAAAAAATGGTAAGCGTGTCAAAAACTGACGGTACTTAAGACTATACTGTCAAAAAAAATAAAGTTTAGGACTTTCTTATCAAATCGTTGAAAATATTGAGACTTTAGTGTATATATCCCGAAATAATAAAATAAGATTCTTATATTTGTATATTTGTACCATAGACACGAAACACATATAAAACAAAAATACAATAAAATTTATAATTAAACAAAATTCATGTATATAAAAATAAAAACATACAGAAATCTTTAATTTTTTTTTTGAGTCATAGTAATTTGGCGATACGATTTTACGGTTTAATTTTGAAATCTCATATATATATATATATATATATATATATATATATATATATATATATATATATATATATATATATATATATATATATATGGAAAAGTTCAATAGAAAACCATAATTAATAAATGTACCAAATAACCAATCCAAAACGTCGAAATTTAAAACGATCAGCGGCAAAAGAAATGGTTGTAGACTTTTACAATGGACGTACATGCACCGGATTATAACAAAACTCATTTTATTTTTTTTAGTTTAAAATATTTTTAAGCCATGTTTTTTATCAAAAAAGAAAAAAAAAATGAATATACCATTGTTCGTAATTTTGCGTCCTCTTTCCATAGAGATCCATATTGATATATAAAAATGATTTTTTTTTTCAGAAAACTCACTTCATTTTCTTTGTTTGTTGAAAAATAAGTATATTTTTTATAGAAAAAAATTAATAAATATATCAAAGTTCATACGTTTTGGTACTTTTTAAACATAGATTCATATTGATGTTAAAAAATCGATATTTCAGTTCAGATTCACATTGTGAACCTGTTCAGATTCACATTGTGAACCTTCTCAGATTCACAGTGTGCATAATACTAAGTCAGATTCACAATGTGAATCTTAACTGATCGAGTTTTTTCATATTGTGAATGTTAAAAATTGAAATATTTACAGTTTAGATTCACAGTGTGAATCTACACTGATCGAGGTTTTTTTAGTCGTTATTGATGTTTATTAATAGAGTACAAAAAATTAATATTTTTGATATAATTAGTTTTTTTTTTTTTTTGATAAAAATAAACTTAAATATTGAAAAAAATAATAAAATGAAATGGATTTTTTTCGAAAAAAAATTCGTTTTTTATATATCAACATGGATCTCTATGGAAAAAGGACGAAAAATCGAGGACAACGGTATATTCGGTTTTCTATTCGATAAAAAATGTGGCCTAAAAAAAATTTTAAACGAAAAAAAGAAGTGGATTTTTTGGTATAATCCGGTGTGTGTGCGTCCAAATATACAAGTGTACATCTATTTCCTTGGCCGTTGATCATTATGATTTCCGACGTTCACAATTGGTTACTTGGTTCCTTGTTAATTATGGTTTTCTATTGAACCTCACCTATATATATATATATATATATATATATATATTATATATATATATATATATATATATATATATATATATAAGTGAATATATGGATGTCATGTATGTAATATTATGTATAGAACCATCTAAATAAACTTCATTTTGATTAAAAAAATACAATTTTCTTTCACTATTAGCTTCTTCCTATTGCATTTGAACTCATGTTAAAATTATGTAGTTTTTGATGGTTCTATACCTAACTAGACGAATTCCCGCGCTTTGCGCAGCGAAGATTAAAAATATATTGTTAAAATATTGAAAAATATATGTTTAAAATGGTTATGTTATTGACATTAACTTTGAGATAATATTTTTACACTAATTTATATATATATATATATATATATATATATATATATATATATATATATATATATATAAGTTTAAAGTTTTTTGTGTTGGTTTGAGGGCTTTGAACAATTTTTCGATCCATATATATAATCTCAATTATTTTAAACAATAATATTCATTGACATCAACCCACATTTCTCATTAATAGAATCAAATATAATTATCTATTTAGTATTATTTTTAACAATTATTATTATTGATTAATTATATTTTTACTTATGCGATCATTTTCTAATTTCAATAATGATGTTCAGTTAAAATACAATTTATTTATAGCTAAATGTAATTTATAATTTGATGTTATTATCATTTAAAATTGTTATTCATTAATTTTAAACCACTTGTTATTAATAAGAAGTTAAAGAAGACTTTAGAAAAACACTTAATATTATTATTAAAATGTGAAACATACACTAAATAATAAAGTGATAAGATAGACAATTTACATTTCAAAAGAGACTTGCATGGATAATATGACATATCCATGTAATTTGATTTTATTATTTATTCTTATTACTTATTAATTTTAAAACCACTTATTATTATTAATAAGTGAAAGAAACTTTTAAAAATCACTTATTATTATAATTAAAATGTTAAACATATATTAAAATATAAAGTGATAAGATAGACAATTTGTATTTAAAAAAAAAGGCTTACATGGATAATATGGATAATATGACATATCCATGATTTTTAATTAATTATTGTTTTGAATCAACATGAACATACAAACATGTATACAATAGTTAATTAAATATTATATATATCACCTTCCATAACATATGATCGATAACATGAATCTAATCTAATTACATTAAAATTTCAACCACAACATACAATGATATTCTTAAAAGAATACTTAAATCAAGAAAATACAAAAAAGAATTAGTATATAACAAACTTACAAATTAAAAACTTAAACATAATAACATGAATCGAAAAATTGTTCAAAGCCCTCAAACCAACACAAAAACTTTAAACTTGTTTTCTTTGTGAATTTTGTATGTGATTTGTATTTGTGTGTCTACTCAAAAAGATTGACCTTTTTATAGTAGAGTATCCATTAATTGTTTATTAAATATATTATATAATTTATAAAACCTTTGAATTGTTAATCATTATTAAGAAACTTTTGAGTGGTATTCATTAAAATAAGAGGTTTCAAATGCATGAGGTGTTTGCAAATTTTTATGGGGGTTTCAAATGCATGAGGTTTAAGGAAAAATGCTAGCTTTATAAGTATGTATGATGTATGATATTAGGTACATAACTACCATATATTCTCCAAGCCTATATATATATATATATATATATATATATATATATATATCTATATATATATATATATATATATATAATATATATATATATATCTTATCTTAACTATATTATAAAGCATATTGAACTTTTCTTGAAATTTAAGAGGTACATGCTTGAAAACTTAATATACAAATTTGTTATGCACAAACCGTTTATCTTTCTATAAACAAAAACTAATTATAGTAATAATAATCATCGAAAATATTTAAGGAATGAAATATCAATTAATTTTTTTTCTTTTTTAACGTGGATAGAAGATTATACTAAAAAGTAAAAAATATGAGATATGTTATTGTTTCACATTATTGTTAGTTTATTCACCACAGTTCACAATTTCACATTCGTTTAACATATTTTAGTTTTGATTTTAATTTTTTAGTTTGTTTTTCTTTATTTATTCATGTTTCATATCGATACTTTATATAGGAAGGAGTTTTTGTGGTTTTCCAGGGATGTTTTTGGTTTTATTGGTGCAATTATCATATAATGGTGAACCTCTATATCCCTGATTTTCTATTAATTATTTCTATCATGGCTATGCATTCTTTTTATTCTTGATTTTCTATATATCTATGTATATGGTAAAGTTTTGACATGAAAAAAATTATGCATTTATTATATTCTCCAAAGTATTATTGGAGAGCTATTAAGAGTCGTTCATCCATCCAACTTTTTGATGGGTAGGTCGGATCAAGCTCCTCAAGAACAAGGATCTATGTCAATGAAGCTTTTCTCGCTTTGATCTTT